TCTACAGAAGTCGTCATCCGAGGATTAAAACCGTGATCCAGGATTCAAACCGTGCCCAGGATTAAAACCGCAACCCAGGATAAAACCCGTGCATCAAAATTCCGAAATAACACCGTGACAGAAGTAACACCGTGTCTCCTTAAGAATCTCACCCCACTTCCGTGCTTCCACACCTCCGAGATCCAATTAACGGACAAGAACTAGTGGAAAGACCATTTCAGAGGAGTCAAGAGTGTCATCATACTACAGATCTGCGACCTAGGAAAAAGAAAGGTATTTATCAACCCGCAATTCAGTTGTAAACTCTCTCTCTCGAACGGAATAGTATAATTAAGTCCGCTAATATGCCGATATCTGTATTTTCTTTGTTTATTATTAAAATTGATTTTTTGTTAGAACATATGGAGTCCGAGTGAGTCACTTCCTCGTCTCTCTCCTCACCTCTACTCCGAATCCAAGCGCTCACACGCTACCGCTCACGAATCTTTAGACGTAACGTCGCGATTTCCGAGTCCCCCAGAGACTCGGTGGTGTCAGATTCAGGTCTCCTGACAGGGCGCCAAAGAGGTGCCGACCCTACGGTCACACTTCTACGTGCAAATTTCTTCTTTCTAATACGTGAAAGAAACATAAAACTGTCTGAATTGGTAAATTTGAAAATTTTTTTTAACTTTTATTTATTTTATTATCGCTGAACATCTTTTTAATGTTTGTCGAAACAATTATCAATATACACTATAATAATACGATTAATGAGATATGGCAACCTTTCTATTTTACTCATATATTAATGTTTTATATTAGTAAATAAAGTGAAATTTTCATCTAACATCTTTTTACAAGGAGCATTTCGTGTTTTTCCAAGTTCAATAAGTGAAGACAGCAATGAGTAGATAGCACTGATTACCTTACAGAAAAACAGAAATAAAATTAGAATAAGTTAGTAAGAATACCATTTAATCATTTACTAATACAGTACAATAAAACGCTACGTACTCTAATTACGAAATTCTTTTTGATGTAGAATAGTCCCCCAACAGATATACCGATTGGAGTTTTCCCAAATCTCTTCATAAAATTAAGGATCTAAAAAATAACATGACTGTAAACACAATCACTAAATAAAACAAAGAAAGAGAACAAAAAAGAATACCTTCAAATTATAAGCAACACCGAGTTGTACTGACGACAAGATATTGCATTCGTTAAAATTACTATAAATCTGAAATTAAACAATTTTCAAAATTATTCTATATACAGTTTCCTATAAGTCTGAAACCATAGAAGTTATGTTCATCATTGTGTAATATTATACAAGTAAAAACATGGTACCAAGTGAAAAGAGAAAT